AGTTATCAAATCGGTTGATTTGCTCCAACTTACTCTTTTTTTCTTCGAATTGGAGGGTTGAGCAAACTTCTCCTTCTAGATTCATACTTCGGCTGAGCTATAGTCTCCGGACTTCCCTCCCCCTACTTCGACAGCTAACGACAAACTCGGCTCACACCGTTGACTAGTTGCTTCGCTTCCCGCCTATGAATAATATACGGGAACACTTCCAGAAGTGAGCTACGGGCTATTCCTCTCAAATCGTTTACCCTGAAGCTGCCTTTAAGTGCTTTCCTTGAGCCTCTCACTAGTAGATAGATATTCGAACTACTGAAGTTTGCTAACAACCCCGTTCTTGAGTTTCTCTCCTAGAGTTCGCTACGGACTATCTGATGATAGACTAAGTATTGAACTTAGGACAGCTAACACCGTTACGTGAGTGGCTCACTACTTTATCTTTCCACTACTTCACCTGCTAACATTACTTTCGTAGACTGATTTTAGTTCTCTTTCCCGCCTATCGTTGAAGTTTATCCTCCCTCCTTTTATCGATTTGAGTTCTGTTGCCGTTTGGTTGAAACGAATCGCCTTTCCTTGGCATGGCACCTTGCTTTCGCACTTGCCTGAGCCGCGATAACTACCCTCCGATAGAGCAATCGCATTACCTGAGAAGCTTTCACCGGTATTTCAGACTCTCTGAATGCGCACTACGGACTCTCGTTTTGTGACTAGTTCACCCGCCTTCCACCCTTTTCTGCAATAATTGTGTTGACTTTGGCATAGACCGGGATAGCAGCATCATAACGGATTCTACTACTATACTTCTGAACAATGGGACCTAACGGATGCCAGTTGTCGAACCAAAGAGGACTTCCCTCATTACCCACTTTGGACCGGATGAAAGGTCTCATAGTGTCCCTCAAGTTCAGCAATTCCTCCAACTCCAGGAGGAACAGTCATTGGAACGGGGATGCCCCACGCACTCCTACCTTTTTATAAGAGGTAACTATGAATTCAGGAAGCCCAGATGGTATGTGAAGTTAGAGGCAATGTTCCACAAATGTCTGGTAATAGCTGCCTTATTCCAATCATGAACTCTCTTGAGGCCAAGAAAGACCCCGGGGGGGGTAGACTACATCCCAAGCCACCTTGGCAGCCTTAGAGATCCCAACTGCACCATGCCAGAGGAAAGATCTGAGGATCTGGTCAATAACCTTGCACACTTCCTTCGGCAAAACGAAAATGCTACTCCAGTAAACAGTAGCCCTGAATACTGAACAACACGGATCTGATGAGCGGAAGTCTATCAGCATCGGAAAGCCGTTTGCTAGTCCAAGATTCCACCCTTCCTTTTTTGGGGGAATCTTATCAATGAGAGGCCTACAGTCTCTGGTTGTGAGTCTAGTGGAAATAAGGGGCACTCTAAGATACTTGATGGGCAACTTCCTTTGACCGGGGACTGCCAGTGAAACACTTTGTTTTTCTGCTTTAAAGAATGCCTCTGGAAACAGCCCAACTAGTTTACCTGCTCGCCTACTACGGTTAAGGCTTTCTTTCTTAAGAAAGGCAACAATGTGGACGATTATTCCTCTTTATGTTAGGCTGGCCTATAGCCCTTTTTAAGGTCTTTTTAACTACTAGGTATCTTCCTCGTCTCTGGTTGAAATAATTGATCATGAATAGTATGACTCAGATGCTGATCCGGGAGAATTCTCCTCTGAAAGCACCTCCTGCAGGACCGTTCTGAACGAAGACCAAAGAGAAAGAATCCCTTGTTTCTAGGATCTAGAAATCGAACCGGCATAGCTTGAGAATGTAGGCTTCTACTCATCAATAGGTACCGAAGCCGAAAGAGTTTATTTAGGAATCTTTCCCCATAGGGGTTACTCGCGCCTAAGCGGATGTCTGGAATGGCTGTAGTGGGAAAGACTCTTTATATAACATGGTTCCGACATCGAATGATTCCCCACAAGGTGCCTGAAACTCTCATTTTGACAGCATCCAGATTGTCAAAGTTTCATTCTCCGGTGCCCAATTCCTAACTTTTGCTTGGTGATTTGACTTTCGATTGAGGAACGGGGCTTGCCCTAGTATTCAAGTTCTTAATGATACGTAGTAAAAACAAATCGTAAGATGAATCAACTACTTCCTAGCTAGGAGGACTACCCTCTATATTGACTTCGCTACTGAGACCACTTCCAAGTAAGAGCGCAAGCCAACCATCTTTGCTGCGGAGGAACCTACATGTGAAAGAAAAAAGAACCGATCATCCGGAGAAAGCCTTGGGAAGGCTTGCTGCCTATGCCAGATGCTCCTTTCTTTGGAACTACTAGTTAGTCTTGCCTATGAAAATAGAATAGTCATTAAAATCCTGGAGACCGTAAAAAACTTTCATCTGATGGGCATCTCTCTGTATATAGAAATAGAAACCGGGACTTTACCCGGGTGGGGAGGAACATCTCAATGGAAATCGGGCGATCCCATGAAGGAAAGGGGCATAGAGGCGAGGGACCATACCCTGCCAGATCCACTCGTGTGGTCAGCCTATGACACATACTTTAGGACGAATTCCTGGTCATTCCTACCATTTGTTCTCATCATGCCATTTTGACCACCTTGCGAGGAGAATCCGCTTTCTATAGATACCCACCGGAGAGGCGCTTGTTCAAGCTTCACAAATCATGCTTTCAAACTTGCCGCAGTTCTTCTAAGAAAATCATCGATAGTAGACCAAGGGAATCGCCTCTACAAAGCTTTTTTACTTATAGAGACTTAGTCAACTCATAAAGGATGCGTTGAGGCCCGAGCCCTTGATACGTAGCTGGTCTTTAGCTAGTTTCTAATCTTTTTACCCTTCCGTGGTAAACAACTATAGGAAGTATTCTCGGGACTGGACTGCTCAAGGTGTTACCTGCTTGAATTGCTTCAATAACAACCGGATGGGGCACCTTTTAGGACACATGCGAACAATCCAACTACTACCTCTACTCGATCTTCGTATGCTATTCTCTTCCCAACCCAACCGTCTCAGTAGGGCTCACTCACTATCTATGCCGGATGCTCTTTGGTGCTACCTTCCCGGTTAGCCCTGCCTACTATTGTATTGAAATAAAATAGAAAATCGGATTCCAGGGATCACCTAAAACATCGTTATCAAGGTCAGTCTTCCACCCCTTCCCCGAAACGAAAGCCTCAATGCCCTTGCCCTTACCCACCTCACCAGCCTTTGGCTATATTGAGCTTGTTCATAAGCTTGGCAAGCTTATGAAAAAGCTCAATCCTTGGACATTCTGTTCATCCGACCACCGCTCTTCCTCGTTAACTCACGGATGGAATATCACAACAAAAACCTTATGCCGGCTCCTTACTACACTACTACTTGAACCTTACCTACCCGAGACACAACCAGACTTGCGTAGGAACATCGACTGGTCGGGGCTAATCCGCCGCCAAGTGTGTGACAGGCCATGTTTATCACCGGTTTGTCAGTTGTGGTTCCCGTTGAGTTGAGGCAAGCTTAGCCACCAGCCCCCTTCCAACTACATAGGAAACTCTTGCTTGGGGAGAGTCAATCTAGTTACCGGGCTAGCTCGCAAAGATAAGTTGAATCATCAAAATCGAGACTGCAGATAAATATCTATGGAGGTAAGGCTAGCACTGATTCTCTTGTCTAGTTGTGATTCTCCGGGATTCCATCAAGAAAAGAATAACCTTCTGCTCCCATACCTTACCAAAGCAAGGAAGTACTTATAGTTGTTTAGTTCAAACAAAATAGTATTAAGAATACTGTAAGACTTTGGTATGGCTCTTTAAGAAGATCCTAAAACTTAAAAGAAAGGGAGACCAGAAACTTAAAAGAAAGGGAGACGACTACTAAGCTCTTTAATGCTAGTTGTCTTTATCAAGTATGAAATAGAATCAATACAGACCGTGACGGCCATATAGAAAGCGGAAAGAGTCCCGTAAGGCAAGCAAGGAAGCGTTAGCTCCCGATCCATAAGCCAGACTGCCCTAACCCACTAAGAAAGGGAGTTAAGAAAGCTAGTAGTTCAGAAAGAGTATCCTCATTCAAGCTAGTGGTGATTAGAAAGCAAGGCGAGAGGGAGCGAGCAATTAAGGCTAACCATCCGGCAGAGGAAGCTCTTTCATTATCGTTCTTATTCTCCGGTATTCTCTTTAGAAACTATTCATCCAGTAAGCAAGGGTCAGAAGGAGGCTGATGTAAGCTAGTTGTTTTATTTTAAAGTATGCTATTTCATAAAGAAAGCACCAAGCACGCACTGAAAGCTCATTCATTAAGGCAAGGAAGCCAGTACTCTACTGAGCGAATTCAAGCTAGTAGTAGTCCGGTAGGCCAGCACCAAGTTATAGAGTTGTGTTTCGAAAGTCTTATTGATGAATTAAAGTAGTCCGGTACCAAAGCAAGCTTAAAGGAAGCATGCAAGCACTTCAATAGTCTTCTCTTGATCCACTATGCATTAAGCAAGTTAATAAACAAAGCCCTCAGAATAAGGAATAAGGCAGACTCGACAAAAGAGAGAAAGGGAACAGAGCAAGAGAGTCCGTCCACTGGAAGAAAGAAGTCAAAAAGAAAAAGATGTGGCTTTCATAAGAGAAGAAGAACATCTTACTCAACAAGAGTTAAGGAAGAGATGCACCTAGCGGATAGAGAAAGCTTTTCACATTCTCCGATCTATGGGTACAAAGAAAAGAAGACCAAGAAAATCTCGACCTCGACCAAACCAATCTCAAGTAGAAGCCAAGGAAGGACTATCACCGGATTCGTTCAAAAGAACAGATGCCAGACTTCACTAAATCAGTCTATTTCTCCTTGCAGCTGGACTCATTTCTTGCTTGAAAGGCATAGGACTTTCAAAGTGTATTTTCTCCTTCCAAAGGGCACAGGCACAACCATCACTGGCAACCCGCTCTGTCTCGTATGAAGAATGGGCAACGGGCATTCCTGGAACAACTGGGACTGGAAAGGCAGTCAACTCACTCCGCATTACCTCGGGTCATTGGTCACAATCGAGTCAACTCTACTCACTGGTCTATGGAAACTAGCCCCTCTGTCCCTTTCCCTTCTCAAGCTAAGCAATCGAAATCGAAAGATCAGGTCAGCTTTGCTTTCCGAAGTCCGCTCTCGTCTGCCTGGTCACTATCCCCTCTTCGGTCTATGATCACTGGTATTAGACGACGCTCTTTAAAACGCGCTATAACCGCATCTAATCAACTCAAGGCATCAAAGGTCCCTATCCAATTCGTCGTCAAAGTTCTAGCTCATTTTTAGCAATAAGCGTCGAGAGAACAGATGCTATTAAAGAGCTAGAAGCTCGTAACTCGTTCCACTCATATAAAGCGGAACGTTCCCGCTTCTCTCGAAGCTTCCCCTTCGACGTGCGGGCTATATTAGCTTTGCGAGTGAGATAGCTTGTTGAATCATTTGTCACTATAGGAATCGGCGCCGGCACAACCTGAACCGTCACCTTCGTCCCTTACCCCTGACCTCTGGTCACTAATTGACCCCGGTCTCTAAATTGACATTGACTTCTGCTCTGAAAAAGAAAACATCTCTCTAAAACCAACACTGCTCTTGTTCTCTTCCGTCTTCGATCTCTTCGACCTCCGATCCGCTATGCTCTTTGTAACTATACCCTCTTCTCTGGTAACTCAACGGAGATCCTCTTCTTTCCTCGCTTTTGAACGCTTTCTTTCGTCACTCTTTTTAGCAGCTGGAGCAGGAGGCAGGAATCTTTCTATTTGAACAGGCTCTGACCTCTGTCCCGCTCGCCACAAGCAACAGGCACCCTTTCCGGCACAATCAAAGGCAACAGGAGGAGCAGTAGGTAGAAAGCAAACGAACTAAGATGAATATCAGGTACATAAGCCCACCGGCCCACGGGAATCTCGATTAGGAAAGCGCCACTCGTAGTATGTTGACCCTATCCATCCTTCCAGCGCATGCTACGTGTTGGTTAATCAAAAATCTCTTAGGCCGTCCCCAAGCCGAGCTCTCCCACGTTCCGAACATGAGACTTCTGGAACTCGACGCCCCATCGTTCGTACCCGGCCACGGCTCTCACCTGGATTCCCATTTGGTTGATGAAGGCGCAGTGGATTCCTTCTTTAAGGAAATCAAAGGCGCTTTCTCTTCGACTCTACTGTTCTATATGGATTTGGAATGGTCAAAGGCCTAATAGATCTCATTCAAAGCATTCATAGGTCTCACGGATTGTGCTGCTTTCCCTCTCTTGGAGTGGAGCTCTCAGTTGATGAGAACTGGCCTTGTGCTTTCGCTCCATCTCCGTGCGCTTTGTCTTGAACCTGTTGTCTTTTACCAACTCCCCTTAGAAAACCACTAGTGGGTCAGCGGGTCTCTCGTCTATGGAATGGCCAGCATCTACACCCGATTCCTAAACTCCAGCTCCTGCTCATGAAAGTGAAGATTCCACCCGGATCCAATTCTTCTTTTCTTGACTCAATGCTGAAGGCTGAAGGATCAAATAGGTCATGGCTTCTTTGGGGATTCATTGAAACCAGGTTGAGTTTTTCTTAAAAAGAACAGATGAAGGAGCCTATAGTATAGTATAGTATAGTATAGTATAGTATAGTATAGTATAGTATAGTAGAGTAGCCTAACTCACAGGCAGAGCTAAAGGCTATTAAATAGTCGCCTAAGCAGACGATGGACGAGACTCTGGAAGAGTGGCTTTCTGGTGAGGTTGCTTCGACCAACCCTCAGGACAGAAAAAACCCCTAGTGAAAACTATGTCTGTATGTATAACCGCCGCTTCCAATCAATTGAATCAATGCAAGCAGTTCCCCTTATATATAGCTATTCATTCCTATTTGGTTGGATTCCTCGGTTCATCTTATGCCAACGATGGAATAGCCTGTTTTTCTAGCTATTCGTTTCTTTCATTCAGGTATGGTGGCAGGGAGAAGTTCGAGTAGGCTTCGTTGAGAAGGTGAACGACGAATCCGAGTGATCGAAGGTGAAAGTACTAAGCGAATATTCAAACGTCTATTCATGTGAGAACCTTGATTGACACCACCTTAGCCTTAGAGTCAGTAAGGGGAGGCGCCAAGAAGTTTAGACATAACGATCCACCATCTTTGATGGAGGCGAAGAATGGTAGTATTCCTTCCATGACAATCTCAGGAACACTACCATATGCGTATAGTAGCGTCCAGTCTAATAAATAGAAGTGAGTTTTGGCACATACTAGTCTTCTAGGTGAAGTAGCTTCTTCTCCTTCCCTGCACCGCTAGTTTCATAAAGGTTAGTTGGCTTGCCCTTCTCTCCATTCCAGACGGGAATGGTCTAAGTAGCTCCAGCTCTATTAGCTCGGTGCGCCTTTATGTATCAGCTATTAGTAGGCTCTGCCCCAAGAGTCGTAGACCGGGAACCCGGAGGTGAAGGCAACTGGCAACGGATGGAGCATTCGGAGAGGTTTCAGTTCACATTCATTCGACTGAACAACGCGAGCTATTGAGTCGGATAAGCCTGTCTCTCGTCATGCTCTCGAAGTTAACATCCTTGTTAGTAGCTCAAGGCCCCAAAGGCTCTACTAGAGTCGGGTGTACGACCTTAGAGGAATACGAGGTGAAACGGAGATCGCATTCCGAGAGGCTGATTATCAGATTCATTCCTTGTGCTTGACGTTCAGGGTACTATCAGCGTGGGAGATAAAGTGATTTGTTCAAGCTAACTGATGTGAACATGTGAATTCACATAGAATATTAGCACATGTTACACGCGTATACATGTAACGCAGATAAGCCTTCACAAAATGATTACCGGTTATAGGCATGACCTCAGTGGTACCAAAATTTATTTTTTGGGGAGTGATTTCCACGAGGCCTTTGACGGATGGGTCCCAGAGGTGCTGATCAATGAGGGAATCTCATGCCTAAGGTTGTAGCATTGATCAGTCCAGTGTCCCTCTCCACCCATGTGATATTCACAGCGTGCGTTTGGGATGAAATTCTTGGGTGGTGGATTTGGTATCGGCCTAAGTGGTATAGGCTTGATGAGGTTGGCTGCTACCAACTCTAGGAGCAACTGTGACGGAAGGGCTGGTAATGGGTCACACTTTCGGTGTGCTCCTCTCTTCCCATATATCTGACTGGGGTGGATTGAGCTTGAGCGGTTGCCCTGGATTGGACTTGCAATTGCATTGGTTGGACTTGTTGGCGAGCTGTATGGATCGGCCGAATCCTGGAGAAATCCCCTTTGGGAGGTTGCCCAATCATGATAGCCTGTACTTCTCTCTCATCTTGATTTGTCTCTTGCTTTCCAGGTGAACGCAACGTTTGGTCGGGTGTCTGAGGCCCCCATGTTCGCATCTGACATTTGGGTCACGTTTCCTTGGAATCCAATTCAGGATTGAGGGCGGAAGATGCAATAACAATTGTAGCCATGAAATGGGCAATAGGTTGAACTTCCGTTGTTCCCATCTCCTCCTAGCCCTAGCTGCATATCATTGATGAATTCCTTAAGATCACCGGAAAAAGATGTTTGTTCTGGATTGACTTTCCTTTCTCCAGGGAGCTTCTTAGGATTGATTCTCATCCCGAATAGGGATTTTTGGTCTTGCCATGACCTCGCCCTACCTATTGTCGACATCTGCGAGTT